GACTAGAAGGTGCCTATCATAAAAAAATCTAGTCTCCTCTTTCTCCTCAGGGACAGTGACTACACTCCCCAGCCTTCCAGTGAGGGATGGCCATGTTGGTGACACTGACCAGTGTGTTCCCAGCACAAGTCATATATAGCACTTCCAGGAGTTTCCTTAAAGAAAAGGCAGGAACTCCTGATTCCTCCAGATCTTGCTACTGGTAGCCATCTTTAGCCACATTGTTGCAATGGCATAGAGGAGACATGGAAGGACTTGAGGGTCCACCAGACTAAGCCTGTACTAACTCCGCACTTCTCTTCAGAGGAGAAAACATATTTGAGCAATCTTTTAACCTGCCTCAAACTAATCTTAACTGATATATCTGCCATAACTGAGAAGTTTAAGGGAGCTATAAAAACATTAAAAGTTTGAGCTGGATTGCTGCTAAGGGGTAGAGGGCTTTCCTAGCATGTATGAGGCCCTGGGTTCCATCCCCAGTAACACACACATATACAACCCTAAAGGTAATAATCTCCCAAAACACAGCCTTCCTAATTCAAACCATGGGTACACTGAGTAACACACATAATTGTATCCTTTATCAATTATTAAGCATTTACTATGTGCCAAGCACTTGATATATTATGTATATGTGTGAGCATACAATCTCATTAATCTTCACAATATTTCTACAAGGTAGATATCAGTATCCTCAAATTACATACAAATGATGTAACAGAGGTTCACAGAGTTTAGTAGCTTGCATTAAGTCAAAAATCTAGCAACCCAAGTTGATCAGATGCCAAGCCCATGCTCTTTCCAAGTACATGTTGAATCTACAAATAAAATTCAATAAATGTCTCCTGAGCAGTTAACTACATTCTAAATTGGTATCATTTAGTTAATGGTTGTGGTCTCACTAACAAGGCTAGCCTTTTTTGCTTTTAAGAATTTTTTCTCTCTTTTTTTTTTTTTCTTTTCGAAGTAAAAAGCTTTTAGTAGACAATAAATAGCACTTTCCTCATAAAAATAATCCCTTTAATTTTACATGGAGACAGCTTCAAGTGATTTAGCTATTTTAATTAATAACTCAATTGTTCTAATTTAAAATTAAAAATAATCATCAACAAATAATAAATTGATTATATATTTCAGTCATAAAAACAAAAAATATACCTGGTACCTTGAACATACTCCTCTTGATTTGAAAAGGTGTCTGCATTCAGCCAGCATATAACATAAAATGACCTGGCATTTTATCCTTCTAATTGTGAAGAATTGTTAGTCATGCCCCAGAAAGAGATCAATCCCCAGTACTCAAAAATAAATAAATATAAATAAATAAATAGAGAAATAGATAGATAGATAGATAGGACAACTTCTGGTAGGGAGACCAAAGCATCTGGTCCCTGGGGATTCTAGTGTTCACATTGAAAGTTCTGCATCCTGGGAGCCCCCTCAGTCCTACAAAAACCTAGAAGGCTGGTCGTCCTATGCATTAGGGTACCATAAAATTGCACGTATGTCTTCAAGAAAACTTATAAAATTGTGGGCAGTTTATACTGAATTAGAGATGAAGCATTAGCCAGGCATGGTAGCACACACCTCTAATCCCAGCATCTCAGGAGGCTGAGGCAGGAGGATTGAAAATTCAAGTCAATCTCAGCAATTTAACAGGGCCCTAAGCAACTTCAAGAGATCCTGTCTCAAAAAAATAAAAAGGGCTGGGAATGTATGTAGCTCAGTAATAAAGCACCTCTGGGTCCAATCCCCCCCCCCCACACACACACACTGAGTGGTGGGAGGCAGACAGAGAGGCAGAGAGAGATATGAAGCATTATTATTAAGTATGGTTTCAAAATATTTGATTGGCTGTAAAAAAAAAAAAAAAGCAATTACAAACTTCTACATAACCATGCTTAACCAAGACAATGTTGCTGAGAATATAAAAAGTTTTAGGTAAAATTCTTCATTGTAATGATATTCATTACGTGCACTTACAGAGAAAACTGAGACACTGTATGAGGCAAGACTGAGAAAGGAATCAATTTACTCAAGAACTTTATCTCATCTCTGTGAAATGGTGGGGAAAAAATAGATTTGACATTGCAGTTTTGAGGCATCGTGACAGGCTAAAACTCTGATGAGGGTAGAAATAGGCAATCGACAAGTTAAAAGCTGAGGTAAGCACATACCCTTCAAAGTCCCTTCCAACCTGAATATTCCAAGACAAAAGTTATCATTTGTATGACTCTTTACAGGTAAAGCAAGTCTGTCCAGAGAGTAATCCGCCACCCAAAGGGTCTCTCTGGCTGGTGATGGAGCCTAGACTCTCTATTAGCCATACTCTCAGCTTAATTATGCTTAGGAAAATTTCCCAAAGAGCATACAGTCAGCATAAGAAGATAAATGACACATTTCACCTCATGTGGAGTATTTTACTTAAGGCCTCAAGTTTAAAAGGAATTTGAGTTCAGAAATTCTTGAAGCTTTATCAAGTTATTTAACCATATATTCAGGAGGTAGCTTAGTTTTTTTATGAGCTCTCTAAACAAACCAAAGGGATGAACACAGAAACTTGAAATAAATATCTTCTCAATTCGAAGGAGCTTCAAAATAAGAAAACTCTTTAAAAAACAAATTATTGCTGTCTTTCAATTTTCCTGGCATAGTTTTCTCATAAGGAAAACAACAAGCATGTGCCCAGTTTAAGGGGTGCTAATGACAATGAGAGAGCTTGGACTTTCTTTATCCCAATAACTTTATTCTTTTAACAAAACAACTACAAAATCACACAGAACTTTGCAAACATTCATTGTTTGATCAATATGTTATTGTCTGTTAATCTGGGAAGGTCCCCAAATTAGATAAACACAAAAATCTGCTGCCTTCAAGAGGAAAGACAGATTGTTCTAGACAGGGGTTGAGTTGTTTTTTTAACCAAGCTTTTTAATTATGCTGATCCATCCATCTATATGCCAGCCCTAGCCTCTGTGACCAATGGTACAGATAGTCCACAACCTAGGTTTAGGATGCATCTCCAGATGTATTAGTGATGCACACTACTCATCCTTAGCTTTTTCGGTTCCCTTGTCTAACAAGAACAGGGGCTGCTGAGCTAAAGAACCTTGTCCAAATCATTAAAATCTCCCATGCTCTCAGATTCCTGTTTTCCTCTTCCTGGCATAGGGTTAATAATCCCATATTCTTAAGTCTATAAAGTCAACTAAAAGTAAATATATAAAAATATGTGAAAGAGCTTTGTAAATGATAAAATTATAATACATTATTTAACCAGATAAGTTGGAAGAAGACTGTATCTATGACATAGAACTGCCCTGAGGATATCTGATTATATATAATCTGTTGTGAAACACTGTTAGTAACATAAATACACAATAAATGGGTATCAAATTCAAAAGACAAACTGAGCCATGTACTATAAACCACAAGAGTGTATAATTCTTCAGGATTAAAGAAGGTAGAATGAAATAGTACTTGAACCTTATGCTGGAAATCACATGAGTGAATTTTTATGCCAGTTTTATGCATGCTTACACAGACCTTCAGAATAAAAATATTCCTTAATGATTACTTATGTGGAAAGTTCATTTCCCTAATGACACTTCAATGAAAAGATTTCACTTCTATGTACTAAATCTAAAATGCCCAGATCAACACAACCCTCCATACAGACATACCCTTAGTCACAGAGTAGAAAATGAATGGAAAAACCCACAGTATTCAGAGCTATCCACCATTACAAAGAGAAATCAAAATCAAACAACAAAATTAAAGGAAAAATACTATTTTTCCAAACGCAAATGGAATGTTCATAAAAATCCTCTCAGTTTTCTGAACTCACAAATACCCAAGTAACATAATTCTCCTTACAAACAAGCACATGAGGATGACTGTATCAAAGTATAAACAAAACCCTATGGTGAAATGCCTATGTTAAAATGTCCTTTATATAGTCATAACTGGACTAATTTAAGCATTCAAGCTTACAATGTAGAATCTGTCCAATATAATCTGGAATTGTGAGGGAAAATAGGGGTGTGAGAAATACACTCAGTATTTTGCTCTTTCCTCTCTTGGAGACTTACCATAATTCTTGCAGCAGGAAGTCCTGCAGACAAAATATTAACAAAATAAAATCCTTGAAAATCATGGCTATATTTTCAGTTGACATAACCCATTTTAATCCCCCAATCTCTTTCTTAGATTCTTATCTTAAATAAGTATACCTGTTGTACATTCCTTCTTTAATAGACCTAATATTTTCGTGCAACAAAACCAGACTACTGTGAGACATGGGTAATCTTTCTTTTTAAAGATTATATAACTTCCTTCTAAACGATGCTGGTATTACTAAATCATAGCCAATGTAACAAAATAGAAATGGAACTGTTACACTTCCATCTGTTAACAACGATGGAAAATTACTTCTTAATTTGCAGTAAACTATCTCAGGAGTGACTTTCTGAATAAATGAAACAGAATTATCAATAGCAAACACTTCATGCTAAGCCAAAGCCAACGGGGCAAGTCATATTATAACATATACAGAACCTACAGTAAAGGGAAAGGCAGGAACTAAATGACTTTAAAAGGCTGTTAATTTTTCTCACTCTTAATATTTTCCAGGTTCAACTGAGGTATAATACAGCAGACCATGGGGGCCCCGTGCAAACGCAACTATCAAGGCCATGTCTAGTTCCATGGGGGGTGGGAACTACCTGAATTCGTGTTCTGAAAAGCCTGCAGTAACACCCAATTTTAGAAGCCAACAACCACTGAACATAAAACTCAAGACAGTACTACCTCCCACCACCCCTTCCCTTGCCCCCCCATTCCTATTCTGATTCAATAATTACACTTATTCAAGATAAAAGGGGAGAACCCTGTTGGAATGGATTTTTAGACGATACATACTATAGATAAAGCATAAGTAAGTTGCTCTGAGGAAGTTGTAGACCCATTCCTACATATAAACCAAAAGAAGATACACCCACTTGTATTCCGATCAGTGAAGATGCAACCTGGTAATTTGCACAGACAGGTACTCTCCCAAAGGGGGCAGAAAGAAGACTGTAGTTCTTCACTCAGTCAGCGTCAGAGAAGCAGGCTCCGCAACTCTCGAGGTGCGGAAATTCAAATAAAGCCCTGCCACTCACACGTGCAGCATCTCCAGGAGGCAGGGCTTGGGGACTAGGATACGCGGTCGCAGCACGCTCCGCTCCAACAGCCCTAGGCTAGGGAGTGCGGACTGCTCCACACAGAGACCCGGGAAGAAGCAGCACAGATGCCAGAGAAAGCGCGGCCGGGACGAAACCGCCTCCCGCCAAGTCCCGGAGCGTAGGGGCTCCTAGGCGTTCTGGCTCCCTGCGGCGGGCGCGCAGCGGCGGGGGCGGGGTGAGGGCGGGGGCTCACCTTGCGCCGGCGGCAGTCGGGCGCGCGCGTCGCCGGCGCTGCTCCTCCTGGGCTGCGAGCCACACCGCCCGAGCGCCGCGGGGGGGGCCGCGGTGGCCGGCGCCCGGGTTCCTCCGCCCCCGGCCCCGCCGAGTCGACTCCGCCGAGGGTGCCAGCAGCTGTAGGCAGCGCCGGAGCGCTGGCCGCCTCGCCATACGTGGAGTGAGCGGTCGCGCAGCGCCCCGGGCGCCCCCGGGCCGAGAAGGGCCCGGCTTGCAGCAAGGTTCCGCTCCCCCTTGCCTGGTGACTTTCTCATTGTGACCTTCGAAGCTGGCGCCCCGGCCAACGTTGTCCCGCGGCCGCCGCTGCCCCCGCCTTCACCAAGATGGCTGCCCGGCGGGTCGGGGCCCGAAGCCATCTTGGTAAGGGAGGCACGCGGGTCGGGCCCCCTCTTGCTCGCCTTTGCGGGCGTTCTTCTGAAGACAGTTGGGTCGCCTGTCCCAAGCCAGCAGTTAACGTTCAAATCACATGAGCACATTCCTGGACACCAGACAACAATTGCTAAAAATAAATGAAATCCCATTGACCCTGGGAGCCCCTGAGACTGCTGGATCATAGAGAAGTATTGACATGTTAACTGCCTCGTTCCAAGAACCTGGTAGCAAAGAAACTAAACTCATTTAATGTGTGTATGATGGATATTGAATATTAACGACAGCTCTGCCTTGTCATGGTGTGCTCACTTTTAAAATGATGTCAGAGCTTCCTGGTACACACAGTTCTCTAATGAACCTGCATCATTTTTACATCCCAGAGTAATGACGAAAGAGCATTAAAATGTGATTCTGAGTTTCTTACTGGGTTTGCTTTTTAAATTGCAGGTTGAAATTAGTAATTTCAAGAAATATTTACAGGGCTAAGTATGTGGCTCAGTGGTAGAATTCTCGCCTGGCATACGTGAGGCCCTGGATTTGATCCCCAGCATGGAAAAAAATATATATTTACATATAGGCAGATTGAAATAGAATTCAATGATAGGTGGTTGGGCAAAAAGAATCCTCTGAAAGTCCTAAAGTTGTGTACAATGGGCCAGAAGAAAATCCGTCTGGAGTTATATTAGTAAAAAAGAAACACCAGCCCTAATGCAGATAGAACTGAGGGGAAATGAAAAACTATTCTGCCATTTGAAAATGAATGTGCACCGGTGTAATACTGTAGGACTGTAAAGCACTTTATGTGACTGGATTTTTGTCTCCTGGGGCCAACTTGAAGTTGTTGCTACATATTATTAATTTAAGTGTGATTAAAAACTACTTGCATGTGCTTGATTAGCAGCACATGTACTAAAATTGGAATGATAAGGAGAAGATTGGCATGGCCCCTGCTCAAGAATGACACACAAATTCATGAATCATTCCATATTTTTGTGAGTTCTACATCATGTACCACCAGAAGACTGAGAAATTATACTCCATCCATGTATCATGTGTCAAAATGCATTCTACTGTCATGTACAGCTAATTAGAACAATTTTTTAAAAAAAATTTATAGCAGCACAATTCACAATAGCTAAACTGTGCAGCCAACCTAGATGCCCTTCAGTGGATGAGTGGATAAAAAAAATGTGGCATATATACACAATGGAATTTTACTCAGCAATAAAAAAGAATAAAATCATGGCATTTGCAGGTAAATGGATGGCATTGGTGAAGTGAAGTTAGCCAACCCAAAGAAACAAATGCCAAATGTTTTCTCTGATATAAGGAGGCTGACTCATAGTGGGGTAGGGAGGGGGAGCATGGGGGAATAAATGAATTCTAGATAGGGCAGAGGGGTGGGAGGGAAAGAGATAGGGCAGGGGATTAGCAAGGATGGTGGAATAAAATAGACATCATTATCCAAAGTACATATATGAAGACACGAATTGGGTGTCAACATACTTTATATAAAAACAGATATGAAAGTTGTGGCATATATGTATAATAAGAATTGTAATGCCTTCTGCTGTCATTTTTTTTAAATCAATTAAAAAAAAGTTTAACAAAGTAAAAAAAAAAAACTGCTTGCACTTGGGTGGGGTTGAGACTGCTAAGCTGAATAATTTTGTGTGCAACAGCAAAATTTTAAAGAAAAGTAACAGTTCTATAAACCCAAAAGGAAGACTGAAGTTAACAATCAGAAGTTACTGCTCTTAGCTAAGGAGCTTTTAAAAGATATCATTTCTTCCCCTCACTCACATCCTTTATTTATGAAAAACTCTCAAATTTTTAAAAAAAGGCTATGTGTTTGGGGGGTATTTGTGGGATTTTGTTTGGTTTTGGGCAGTACTAGCGATTGAACCCAGGGACACTCTTGAACCCAGGGGCACTCTTATCACTCAGCTACACCCGGGCCTTTTTTATTTTTTATTTTTAGACAGTATTGCTACATTGCACAGACTAACCTTGAACTTGTGATCCTCCCGCCTCAGCCTCCCCAGTAACTGGGATTACAAATGGGACCCACCACAGCTGGCAGATAGGCTTTTTTTTGGTAAAGCCATTTGAATAAGTTGGAGATACCAAAATACTTAAGCATTAAGATACTTGCTTCCTAACCACAATATCATTCTCAATTGAGAAAGCAGTTCTCTCAGATCACTTAATATTCAGTTCCTAGTCAAGTTTCAATGATTGTACTCATAATGTCCTATATGCTGTTTTTTCTCTTTTCCATAATTAGGATACAATATAGGCTCATTAGTGCATTTGCTCATTATATATAAATAAGAAGCAATTTAAGCCAGGTGTGGTGGTGTACATCTGTTATCCCAGTGACTCAGGAAGCTAAGGCAGGAGGATTGTAAGTTCAAGACTAACCTCAGCAATTTCACAAGGCTCTAAGCAACTTATAGAAACCCTGTCTCAAAATGAAAATATGATCAGCAAACAAATATATGGAAAAATGTTCAATATTTCTAGCAGTTAGAGAAATGCAAATGAAAACTACACTGAGATTGCATCTCCAGTAAGAATGGTAATTATCAAGAATACAAGCAACAATAAATGTTGGTAAAAAAAAAAATAAATGTTGGTAAGAATGTGAGGAAAAGGCATGCTCATACATTGATGGTAGGACTGCAAATGCAACCACTGTGGAAAACAGTATAGAAATTGCTCAGAAAACTTGGAATGGAACCACCATTTGACCCAGTTATCCCACTCCTCAGTATATGCCCAAAGGACTTAAAATCAGCATACTATAGTGATGCAGCCACATCAATGTTTATAGCAGCTCAATTCACAATAGCTAAGCTATGGAACCAACCTAGGTACCCTTCCACATATGAATAGATAAAGAAAATGTGGTATATGTACACAATGGAATAATACTCAGCCATAAAGAAGAATGAAATTATGGCATTTGCCAGTATATGGAGACTATCATGCTAAATAAGCCAATCCCAAAAACCCAAAGGAGGGGTGAGTGGGTAGAATAGAAGTTCATTGGATTAGACAAAGGAATAAAGGGAAGGGGGAAAGACAGTAGAATGAATTGGACATAACTTTCCTATGTTCATGTATGAATACACAATCAGTGTAACAGCACCTCATGTACAACCACAAGAATGGGAAGTCATACTCCATGTATGTACAATATGTCAAAATAAACTCTCCTGTTTGTTCTAAAAAGAAAATAAATTTTTTTTAAAAGGCTGGGGATGTAACTCAATGGTAAAGTGCCTCTGGATTCAGTCACCAATAAGAAAGAAAGAGAGAGAGAGGGAGGAGGGGGGAGGGGGGAGGGGGGAAGAGGGGGAGGGGGAGGGGAGGGGAGGGGAGGGAGGGGGAGGGGAGGAAGGGGGAGGAGGAAGAGGGGGAGGGGAGGAAGGGGGAGGGAGAGGAAGGGGGAGGGGGAAGAGAGGGAGGGAGGGAAGGGAAGGGAAGGGAAGGAAAGGAAGGGAGGGAAACAGCAGCAGCAATTTGAATGTTCTCTTGCTGTTTTCTATACACATTGTTGTCCAAAAAGGCACAGATGATTGTGGTCTTAGAAATGTAATTTGGGAAGCTCACATTTTAGTAATATTTAGAACTTACAGAGAAGTTTAAAGGGTCTTTTCAAGGCTGACAAAGATGAAGTTTAAGTGAGTTACATAGGTTTTTGTCAAGAATTACAATTCGAGAATAAATCCACTTCTATAGTTCATTGGTCTAGTATAGAACAGCTTAGACCATACCATTGTTCTAGGAAGGAATTAGTCTATATAATCCTTAGAGTGCTCCTTCTCAGCAAAAAAAAAACTTTCTTTTGGCATGTCAGCAAATGGTCACCTCAGCACAAGTTGAAGACCAAAGGTCACAATATGTAGTCAACTTTTTTTGACAACATCATACAGCTGTCATGAAAAGACTAATATTCAGAGGGCATTTTTCATTGAGAGCAGGTACTTTATTTAGATAAGCACTATTTTGTGTAAACCAGGAAAGCCTAGGAGGAATGAATAATCTAACACTACATTGACATTAGGATTAAAGCTGTATTAAGTAATGCTTATGCTTTTGTAACTCATGAAATACTACTTAAGTTTTATGGATCATATTGGTTTGGTTGGGTTTTTTCCTAAACAGTGAAAAGAACATCTAGCTTGCCTTGCTTTACAGTACAAAAGGAGAAGCCTTTTACTCATGTTGGACTGGGCTTTATTTGTCTTTTCCTTTCGTGTCACCTCTAGGTAGTCAAGCACTCAGCACACAATAAATATTTATCTTCTAATCGGTTACTTAATTTTAAAATGTTAATTACCCCTGTAAAGAAGAGGAGCAACTTTTCACAATTCTCTAAAAATAGAATTAAATTAAATACTGTGTCTATACCCAGTCAAATAAAATATTGTTTTCCTAATCGCTAAGCATCTATAAATAACTCCAAATAGCAGCAGGAAGGATCTTGGGCTGCTAGATTTTAATCACTGCTCTGTCAATAACTACCCCTTTGACTTCAGA